TTGTTCCACTACCTTCTGTCATTTTTCAGGCAACTTCATAATTTCATGTTCCCCAAACTTAATGAAAATATGATCATTAAACTATAATTTAAAAGGATACATGCACCCCTATATTCATAGCAGTACTGTTTACAGTAGCCAAGACATGCAAGCAACCCAAATGTCCATTGACGGATGAATGGATAAGGATGTGATGTGTATATATTGAGTTGGTCAAAAAGTCCCCTTAGTTTTTAAGTAAAAGATGGGACTTTTCATTTTTACCTAGAACTTTTTTTTTCCATTTATTTTTATTAGTTGGAGGCTAATTACTTTACATCATTGCAGTGGTTTCTGTCTTACATTGAAATGAATTAGCCATGGATTTACATGTATTCCCCATCCTGGTCCCCCCTCCCACCTCCCTCTCCACCCGATCCCTCTGGGTCTTCCCAGTGCACCAGGCCCGAGCACTTGTCTCATGCACCCAACCTGGGCTGGTGATCTGTTTCACCCTAGATAATATACATGTTTCAATGCTGTTCTCTTGAAACATCCCACCCTCGCCTTCTCCCAGAGTCCACAAGTCTGTTCTATACATCTGAGTCTCTTTTTCTGTTTTGCATATAGGGTTATCGTTACCATCTTTCTAAATTCCATATATATGTGTTAGTATACTGTAATGGTCTTTATCTTTCTGGCTTACTTCGCTCTGTATAATGGGCTCCAGTTTCATCCATCTCATTAGAACTGATTCAAATGAATTCTTTTTAATGGCTGAGTAATATTCCATGGTGTATATGTACCACAGCTTCCTTATCCATTCGTCTGCTGATGGGCATCTAGGTTGCTTACCTAGAACTTTATTGAACAACTTATTCACCATTTTGTTCCACTACCTTCTGTCATTTTTCAGGCAACTTCATAATTTCACCTTCCCCAAACTTAACGAAAAGATAACTTTTTCCCCACCCAATAGAACCACCAATATGATTTATCAATTCCACTTCCAGTTTTATGTCCAAAATAATCTAAAGCAGGAGTTTGAACCAGATATTTATAAGCAGCACTATTCGCAGTAGCTAGGAGGTGGGAGCAACTTAAATATCCATTAGTGGATGACTGGATAAAGAAAATGCAGTGTGTATATACAGTGGAATGCTACTGAGCCTTGAAAGGAATTTATGACACATTCTCTAGCATATATTTGAGGACATTTTGCCTTGAGTAATACACCAGTCACAGAAGAATGCCTACTGTGAGATTCCACTTACGTGAGGTGTCGAAACTAGTCACCTTGTAGGAATAGAAAGCTGGATGGTGGCTGCTTAGGGACAGGGCGGTGGTGAGCTGCTGTTAGGTGGATGTAGACTTGTAGCCATGCAGCATGGGGCCTTCTGGGGTATGTTGCACAGTCCTGTGCGTGCAGTTGACAATACAGTGCTGACCACCTGGAAATGTTGGGAGAGTGATTACAAGTTTCTTTCTGCAGTTAAAAAACCAGTAAAATAGAAATTTCTTTGTGGTATGGCTCCAGTAAATAATATTCTAACTCATAAAAGCAACAACTGTACTAATCAAAATAGTATGGAACTAAAAAAATGTTAGACATACAGATTTACTGTACCAGGTAGAAAGTTCAGAATTATCCCCATACACACATGGTCAGGTGATATTTGACAAAGGAGGTAGGGCAGTTTAATAGGGAAAGGAAAGTCTCTACATAAGGTTGTACTTGAAAAATTGAATAAGATGTGTAAAACACCAGCCTCCACTACTTAGAAAAATTAAGCTGAAGTGATTCCTAGACCTAAGAGTAAAAGGTAGAAGTATAAAGCTTCCCAAACCTTGGGTTAGGCACAGATTTCATAGACAGAATTCAAAAAGTGCTAGTTAGAGAGGAAAAAATAAGAGAGTGAATCTCATGAAAATGAAAAATTTCTCCTCATCGAGCACACTATTAAAGGTATGAAAGTTGAGCCATAGACTTGGGATGAATATTTTCAAAACATAATCATGTTGGCAGCTTCTTTACAGACTATTACATGGCGGGAAAAATAGCGTCTTTACTTTAGAAGAGTTTTATAGCAGCACCTTAACTTAGGACCAAAGTTAACTCCATCAGTAGGGAACAGACTAAAATGCATGGTCTGCATCTAGTCATGAGGAAATATCAGAAAACCCAGGCTGAAGACAATCTACAAAATAACTGGCCTGTATCCTTTAAAGTCCTAAAAGAAATCAGTCCTGAGTATTCATTGGAAGGACTGATGCTGAAGCTCAAACTCCAACACTTGGGCCACCTAATGCGAAGAACTGACTCATTGGAAAAGACTCCCATGCTGGGAAAGATTAGAGGCAGGAAGAGGAGGGGCCGACAGAGGATAAGATGGTTGTATGGCATCACTGACTCAATGGACATGAGTTTGAGGAAGCTCCGGGAGTTGGTGATGGACAGGGAAGCCTGGTGTGCTGCAGTCCATGGGGTTGCAAAAGTTGCAAAAGTCACTCGGACACGACTGAGTGACTGAACTGACTGATCCTTTAAAATGGCCAGTTTCATGGAATGCAGAAGCTGGGAAACTGGTCCAAATCTACGAGGGCAAAGAAAATCTAATACATGCACCCATGGTCCTGGATTGAATCACAGACTAGAAAGACAGAATAACTGCAAAGGAAGTTACTGGGACAGTTGGCATCATTTGAACTTGCAGTTTGAATTAGATGATGGTAGTATATCATTGGATTTCCTAGGTGGCACTAGTGGTAAAGAACCCACCTGTCAATGCAGGTAGGCGTAAGAGACATAGATTTGTTTGCTGGAAGATCCCTTGGAGGAGGGCACATCAACCCACTCCAGTATTCCTGCCTGGAGTATCCCATGGACAGAGGAGCCTGGTAGGCTGTAGTCCATAAGGTCGCACAGAGTCAAACACAACTGAAGCGACTTAGCACACACACACAAAGTCTATCATTGTTACACTTCCCAATTTTGAGAATTCACATTATGTAAGAGACTATCTTTGTTTATAGGAAATATGTTGAAATATTTAGGTATAGGAAAACATGGTAGCTGCAGTTTATTTTCACGTGATTAGGGAAAAAAACTCATGTAAAGAAAGCAGTGGGGTCAAATATAAATGGTGAGTTTGTGTAAAAGTTATACCAGAGTTCTCTATACTATCCTTGCCAATTATTTTCTGTACATTTGAAATTACATCCAAAAACCTAAGAAGGAGATATATATAAAGCAAAGTGTTTGATGTGTGGAGAACCAGTGTGCTCGTTAATGAGCCCTTTAGTTTTGTTCAGTAACGTAAAGTCAAGTCATTCAGTCACCAGTTTTCAATCTAGGAGTTTAAGAGTAACCAGAAACTGGGTTTTTGTCTTAAAGTACTTTGAATTTAGATGAGGAGAGAAGAGCAGTGCACACAGAATCTGAACAAAAAATAACAAAGTCATTGTGTTTGGTATGTGACATGCTCTAGAACAACTGTTGGCAAATATTTTCTGTAAAGGGCCAGATAGCAAATATTTCTAGCTTTCTAGGCCATTATGATCTCCGTCACAACTGCTCAGCCCTGCTTTCCAGTATGGAAGCAGCCATAGATGACACACACAGAAATGATGCCTCTCTGTTCCAGTGAAACATTATTACAAGGAGAATGCAGGCTGCATCTGTCCTGAGGGCTGGTCTGTGTCCCTGACTCTCAAATGTTAACAGGGTGGGGTTTCTTAGGAGCATTTAGAGAACAGTGTGGTTAGTGGTGAAGATGTGGGCCCTGGAGGTGCTCACACCTGGTTCACACCCAGTCATTGCCACTGACAAGTTACACTGGGAGAGCTTTACACCTTTGCTTTCTTGTTTGTGAAATGGGAATAACGAGAGCCTCCTCCATAGAACGTGTGGAAGTTGGTGAGTGTAGTCATACCCTGACTGCTGCCTTCTGGCTGCTTTCCTGGCCCCTCTCTCATTCTCTAGCTGGCACCTTCCCAGCAGCCAGGATTATCCCTCATCCACTCTTACTCCTCAACCCCATGCTTCCCTGTCAGACTTAACAACCACTCCTGCAAAGCCCTCACCCTGGTGGGTCCCTTGGCTGGTGCTATATGTGTCTTGCCAGCACCACCCTCATTCACATTGCAGGGCCTTTGAGTTGATTTTTCCCTGTCTTGGAGATTTTCATCTTACTATTCAGATTTCCCAGTAAGAGATCTCTTCCTTGGCTTCACAATTAAGTAGCCATTCAATCTTTTTATCTGATTTCCATTCCTATCCCATTTGACGGTCTCTTGTCTTTAGCCCTTTAGAAAGTGAGCTACATGACAGATAGTACCTTGTCCACCTGATTCTCCACACCCAGTCCTGAGGCCACTACCTTATAAAACAGGCATTAAAAAAGATTGGTGTGTAATGATGTAAAGTAATTAGCCTCCAACTAATAAAAATAAATGGAAAAAAAAATAAAAAAATAAAAAAGATAGGAATTAAAGCTCTCCAAAAGCATAAAGAAAAAAAAAAAAAGATTGGTGGAGTTAATGTAATGGGTTAATATACAAAGATTACCTAATATAAGGACTGCCCCATAACTGATGTTTAGAAACCGTTAGCTTAAAATCATTACTGTACAGTCTGTAAGGTGTACATACTTCCCTTAACAGACATGGAAATGAATTATGAAGCTTGAAAATGTGACCCATGAAGAAATATTTGAAGATCAAGGTCCACTGACTTAAGGAAAGAGTAACACCACAGAGATTTACATCCAGTATCTGATTATACAGATTCCAGGGTAATAAAATGAATAGTTAAAAGTCTGCAAATGAATTCGAATGCCTTTTTCCTGGAGCTTTCAAACTGTTAGGCTTATACTTACTTTCCTTCCTTCCCCACTCTTCCATTTGTGACAGTGTCTGTAGGAAGATAGACTCTGTCACAGGACCAGAAACAAGGCAGAGAAGCTTGGGAACTTGGGGCTGTCTCCAAACAATGGAGTGATTGAGCTCCCGCTTTGTTTCAGACGTCCATACAGAAGCTGTCCAGGCTGCGCTCGCTAAACACAAAGAAAGGAAGATGGCAGTGCCTATGCCTTCCAAACGCAGGTCCTTGGTTGTGCAGACCTCGATGGACGCCTACACACCCCCAGGTGAGCAGCAGTCCCAGTTGGCTTCATAGAGGGATGAGCATGCCTTAGAATTAGGTTAGTGCCAGCAACTGCAGTCTCTTTAGCTTTCAAAATCATGGTGCTATAATTCACGTTTTTGAGAACCAGAAGTCCAGAAACAGTGTATATGCTCTAAATTAAACTCGGAAGGAAAATTTGCATGATTATGTATGCATTATAATGTCTATATAAATATGCATTTAAAGATTTTAGACTCATAAATATGATACAGATTTTTGTTAAAGTCCTATAAAATTTAAGTCTTCACAGCAGGAGAAGTTGGATTTCTTCTCTGCTTAGACTGGTGTATGCATATTCTCAAGTCTTCAACATATCAATAGGTTGTAATGTTCTGTTAAGAAATTGAATGAATTGAAAGATTTAGACAGTTACTTCCCTGGTAGCTCAGTTGGTAAAGAATCCACATACAATGCAGGAGACCCTGGTTCGAGCCCTGGGTTGGGAGGATCCCATGGAGAAGGGAAGGGCTACCCACTCCAGTATTCTGGCCTGGAGAATTCCATGGATTGTCTAGTCCATGGGGTCGCAAAGAGTTGGACACGACTGAGCAACTTTCATTTTCAGGCAGTTACTTAAATCTGGTGACATCAGTTTTTGCTGTAAAGTGCAGATAGTATTTTTGAGTATCACAGTTGCTTGCTTTGCCACTGAGTTACTAAAGCTGCCAAGGGCAGCATATCAGTGAGAGACGTAGCTCTGTGCCAATAAAAGTTTGTCATGAATTTAGGGAGAGAGTTTGGTCCACAGGCCTGTCCACCCCTGATATAAATGGTTGAAGGTAATATCCCATTTATATTTCTGCTTTTGTTTAATCTTGAATTTTATGTAACTACCTAATTTTTCTACTTAACTCTGTGCAGATAGTTATAATCTATGTCATGTGGTGCTAGTGGTAAAGAACCTGCCTGCCAATGCAGGAGACACAAGAGACACAGGTTCAGTCCCTGTGTCGGGAAGATCCCCTGGAGGAGGGCATGGCAACCTACTCCAGTGTTCTTGTGGCGAATCTCATGAACAGAGGAGCCTGGAGGGCTACAGTCCATAGGGTTGCAAAGAGTCGGTCACGGCTGAAGCGACTTAGCATGCACGTACGCACATATTATCTTCAAAACTGAAGTGAAGCACAAAATTAAATGTTCAGGTTATCTATTAGAAACACAAAGGATTGAGCCTAATTTACTTAATTTTATGTGTGTGTATGTGTGTGTGTGTGTTTCTTGTTCCAACATTATTCATAGCGTGGTTGCCACTCTTTCTTTTCTGCAGACCTAAGTTACCTGGCACATCCCTTTGTTCACAAGAGAAATTTAAGGTGGAATAAGAATAGTTGAATATATAAAGCACTTTTTGGAGTCTTGTAAAGTTTAGTCCTGAGTGTTTGCAAGCAGTGAGGGTAATAGCAGCACATACTGCAACTCAGGGATGTGATCAGGTATGTCCGGTACTAATTCGGACCTCTCTTCAACTTCTCATGCCTTCAAAAGTGAAAGTTCTGAACTTTATAAGACAAAACTTAAATAATATAAAACTTAGTTGTTTTGTGTTTTCTTAAAGGATAATACAAGAAATGTTCTTTATCTCAAGAATAGAATTTTCTATTAGGAAAGGGAGTCCTTTTTGCTGATTTCCTTACATTCCTTCATTTCTTAATTCTGAGCCACAACATGTAATTTGAACTGTTTTTAAATCAGCATGGGATTCACTGATGGCTCAGATGGCTAAGAATCTGCCTACAATGCAGGAGACCCAGGTTCAATCCCTGAGTTGGGAAGATCTCCTGGAGAAGGGAATGGCAACTCACTGCGGTATTCATTCTTGCCTGGAGAGTTCCTGAACAAAGGATCCTGGTGGGCTACAGTCCATGGGGTTGCAAAGAGTCAAACACAACCATAAGTAGTATACTTAATCCTATTTGTTTAGTTTGTGGTTATAATTTGCCGAAATATGAATGTGAAAATTTTAATTTTGTATGTGTATAACAAACAGAATGGACTTATATGGATAACAAACCCACTTCAAATATATTTTAACTAAAGCTTTGAAACTAGACAGTATTCAGGGAGTTGGACCTTTTTCTGAGCCACTTTTTATGGGAAATACTGAGTCTGAAGTACAAGGTGCAGTGTGATTCATGTGTGTGTGTGCTTTTCTTTACGTTGACTCCGTCCTCAGGGGTGTTACTGTGTCGTTCATGATGAAAGACAGAACTTTCAGGAGAACAAATCCTGTACAAATGTCTTTGCAAAATATAAAAGAACATTATTGGAAATGTCATTTTTGGTGCATTTAATTGTTTGGTTAGCATTTTCAGATATACTGTATAATACATGTTGTAAACTGTCATTTAGAGTCTTAGTGACAATATCACTTGAGATAGTTTTATACAATCATAAATGCCAACACTATCATTATAAAATTTTTTATTCACAACCTGCCACACTCACACACAACTTAAAATAGCACATGGCTCAGAGAAACACTTCGAATAAAGAAGGGCTTACAGAGCATCATACTTTGAACACTTGAAAGTTTAGTGTCTTAGAAAATGCCACCATGACCTTCTTGCTTGGTGTCTTGAGTGCACAGAAAAACATTTTGTTATTCCCCAACGTCTTGAGTGGAGGACAGGTGAGGATGTCTTTGAGTTTGGAATGTCAAGAAGACTCTAACATATATATGTAAGGTAAGGTGCTTTGGAAGAGGACCTCACTATCCTGAAAAATAATTTGTCATCTGAAAAGCTTGTAACTTTTCAAGAGTGTTCGAAGGTCATTTACCAGTTAGTGTGTGAGATGGGTCTGTGTTTGGAGAGGGCCTGGGGCTGGGAATGCTGCTTGCCCCAGTCACAGCTAATCGCCTCTCTCCCACAGATACCTCCTCTGGCTCAGAAGACGAAGGCTCGGTGCAGGGCGACTCCCAAGGGACCCCCACCTCCAGCCAGGGCAGCATCAACATGGAGCATTGGATCAGCCAGGCCATCCATGGTTCTACCACCTCCACCACCTCGTCCTCTTCTACCCAGAGTGGGGGGAGTGGTGCCGCCCACAGGCTGGCCGACGTCATGGCTCAGACGCACATAGGTGAGTGCCCTGTGGCAGTCGGCTGTGCTGTTCTTCCTGTCTGTGCCTCTGAGTGGATGCTGAGTGTCCCCACACCTTTCAGTTTGCCTTTTCCCTGTCTGTGCATCGTGGCCTCAGAACCCATTCGAGGGACAGGTCAGACCCTGTCTCTGCTCCTGGGCTGCTTTGCTGCATTGGCTTTACTGTTCTGTGAAACCCTTGGTTTTTACTATTTTTCACATGCTAGACGTCTAATACAATTATAATTTAGGAGTTTTCTGCTCGTAGAGGAGTGTTTTCTTGTTCATTAGGGAAACATGTAGCCATATCTGGTTGCACGTTTTCTTCCATGCTATAATGCAGTCCTAAGTAACATTTTAATCATGCTAATAAGCATGACTGGGCACTTGAGAGTGACTCTGCCCTTACTTTGAAAAGGGGAGGCTTTCATCACTACAGCAGTTTTCTGCTGTAGGCATTCAGATTTCTGGGATGGTTCCCAGAATGTGTGTTAGGTTATGAGAAGTGGGATCCTTTGTATTTAAAAAAGCACAGAGTTTGGAAGCATTGGCAAGGTGTTTGAAAACTGTGTAAAAAAGGAGATTAAGTAAGAGTTGTTAGAGGAATGGAGGGTATTGAATGAGCAGTGGAGCTCTGTGAACCTGGAGTACCTGAGGGTCATATGTTGCTGCCTCTACCCTCGCCTGACACTCACTGTGCCACATTCAGCTGGTGTATGAGGTCCAGATCTGTTCTCATCCATTTCCATCTGTGGATTGAGGTTTTTAAATACTTAAATAATAAAATATTAATGTTCATTAAAGTAAATCGCTTGCTTTGAATGTGGTGCCAAGATGGTTCAATATGTTCTCCATTCAAATGATGTGGACCAGGGTCAGCCACGTCCAGGGACACCAGTGCAGTGGTTGAGAACTGAGCACAGGGCAGGTGCATGTCCTTCTCCCATGTCTAGCCTCCTATCCAAAAAATCCACATTTAGAAAATAGGTTAGTGAAATGAATGAATTCGATACTCTGCCACCTTCTCAGATTCACATTCACACAGTGTTTTTTGCTAGATTACTATCGCCATGACAGAGTCAGTGGAGTTCCATACTGACTTCTAGGACTTGGCCTCAGTGGTGCTTGCTCAGCGTGCAGCTGAGGTTAAAAGCCACAGCCTTTCCAGAATCAGCAGTGAGGCCAATTGTCTCCCAGCAGGACACAGGGAGGGCTGGCTTCCTCAGCAGTCACTGTTGGCCTGCTCTAGTTTGTTAGTGGAAAGAAGAGGAATGATCTGTCTTTCCTTTGTCACCTCTCCATTGTGAATAAAAGGGGAAAATAGGAAAATTCTTCATAGTTTTTAAAGTAATGCTCACATGCAAAGTGGTATTATTAAATTTGAGTTTAAAACATTTTTGGTAGCATACGTTGGTTACTGTGTACTGAGAAACTATTTGAAATCTGAGAAACTTGTGACCATTAGATATTTTTGGACACTAAAAGTTTTCCCTGAATGTTTAGGAACCTGAGACAGTCCCTTGGCGCTGTCCGCGTGCTGCATCCAGCAGCCACATGTGCAAGTGGGGGCGTGAAGCTCCCTCCACCTCTGCCCCTCGCTCTGACCTTGGGAATGTGTATTTCCTGATTCAGTTCACTTTTAAGGAAATATCAGCAATCTTACCAAGAGAAATACGTAATTTTGGACATATTACTCCCTGCATTTGTTTCTCACTTTATGAAGTTACACACGGAATATTGGAGGAAATTATAGCACAGAGAATTAAACCTACCCAGACCATAAAAGGTTGCATTACTCATGTCGTTAAGTCTCAGTGTAAACTAAAAGAGAGCTTCTGAGTATGTGACATTTCACTAATTTCTAATTTGGCACAAAGATAAGTTCTTAGAATATATAGGAATTTTCTATAAATGCAAAACAAATTTTGTTGAAAGAAAGCAGTGGCAAAATAATAAGAAAAGGAGAATTAAGATTTTTTTTTTCCCTGTGGTAAAAGCCAAAGAAGTGAAAATTCAGAATTGACGGTATTTGACCTTTTGTTGAGGCCATCAAAAGCCTGCAAAATAAGAAAGTATTATGTGTACATGTGTGTTTTAAGAAATGTAGGGTCAAATAAACCATCACTGTGCACCTTGGGTGCAAAGAGGAATGCACCTCTTGAGATGAGGCACTTGGATAGAGTCTGTGGAAATGTCTCTCGCCCAGTGGGCAGAGGGAAAATGAGTGGTTAGAGACCACCAACAGACAGACTTCTGCTCTGTTGTTTTAGAAGGAAATCCTGCATCCTTATACGTCCATCCTGATGCACAGGGGCAGCACTCACCTTCTGTCAGACTGGCTTAGTGGGTGACGTGGTCCCCATCCAGGGAGTCTTTCTTCCTTTGGCTCTGCTAGATGGTATTCACACTTGAGCACTGACAGTGAGGGCTCAAGGCATCCCTGTCACAAGATGCTAACAAATTCCTGAGGCATTTGTGACTCAGGGAGATGGACTCACCGTGCAATGGCCTCTGCAACCTAGACAGAACAGGGCCTCCACATTGTCGAGAGAGAAAACCAGAAAGTGTCTTCAGAACCTTTGTGTGTGCTGTGTTCCTGAGACAATTGGCAAAGGATTAGTACCTTTAAAATACTTTATTAAAAGTCAAGGAACATAATTTAGAGTAACCAGAAGAATTAAAGCAACACTTGAAACTTCAAGAGGTATATTTATAAAAAGGCACTGGAGTAAAATATTACCGGAATTAGCTACATGGAAATAGAGAAAGTGAAAAGAAACTATTACTACATTTCTAGATTAAGAAATAAGAACAAAGCAGAATAGATAACATTGTTGTACATTCAGCATCAAAATTTGTATAGTCAGGAAATTAAAGAGACTTCTTCATGAGCTACGGATGTATAGGTAAGGTGTGTGTCATCCTTTGTGACTAATACATTTGAGATATTGTCACATATAGGTTTCATCTGCACGTGTTGGGGTATATTGTCATTAGCCAGATATTCATAGAAGTGATTGCATTTCCAGAGTATCATAGAGTTTATCAGCATGAATGCTGCTGTTTGTATCAGCAAGGAAATTCTCGTCAGGTTTCCTGCATTGATCCTGCTAAGCAGGTAGACGTGCCTTCATGTGCTTAATGCATAATTAGCCTAGAGCCTGGCATTTGCTCAGGATATAGATTCTGGTTTTCTAGGGAATTTGCTCAGAGGGCTAAATGTAATAAATAACCATAATTTATTTATGTATAATCATCCATAGTATCAGTTCTTTTGTAATCTCTTTACTGATACTTTTCAGACATTTACAGTCTTAAAATACTAACTGCACACCAAGGATGGTGGTATTAGCAAAGCCTGCAACACTGGGGCTGGGGTCTCTCTGTGACACTCTTGCCTCCCTTCCTGGCCAGGGCTTCCCCAGCAGCTGGAGCTTCCTGATTGAGAGGCAGTGCCCGCCAGTTTTTCCAGGAAAGGGCCAAAGAGTGGTTGTCAGGCTTTGTGGGCCATACAGTCCCTGCTGCTGCTCCTCTGCCCTGGCTCAAGAGCAACAGACCATGCGTGAACAGCAGGCGTGGCTGTGCACCAGTAAGACTTCATTTATAGACACAGCTGACAGACCGCCCTGTGAGCCATAGTTTGCCAGCTCCTGTTTCAGAGAATTTTAAGCCATGCTATTGAAAAAGTAAGCAGGAAAAGAAAATTTGCATTAGGTAACACAAGGCCTGTGAGACTCTTCCATCAATTACTGTGTGTTTCTGTGGCTCTGTGGGTGATTCTGTTCTGTCCCCGAGTGATTATTAAAATAGTAAGGAGATAAATCTTCACTTACATTGTCATGTGTCAGTATGACCCATGGGTGACACACCAGTAGAATCCTCCTGTTGGGGCTTCTGTCACACTGGGGAGGTGGATGTTTTGGGGGAAACCAAGGAGGAAGGCCTGCTCTTTTGGTGACCTGCACAGGGAAGACAGGTTGGTACAGTGGGCAGCCGAGCAGCATCTCCGGTGACAAGCTGAATGCTCTGATTGCTTCCCTCAGCATCGTTGCAGGCGCCTTTCACCGGGTGTTACTTCCATGTTTCTACTGAGGAACCCGGTTTTCTGTTGCCATGTGGAGGGCACAGCCATGTCGTCTTAGGAAGCCAGAGCAGCTGGGTGGACGGGTGGTCTGAGAGCCTACGTTACTTCCTGCTCAGTGACCGAAGAGGTTGTATTGACCGGGAGACTTGGGAGGGCCCTGTTGACAGATGGAAGGCTGGGTTCCTTAACATGGCTCTACTTATCTGTCATCAGTTAGTGGACCATGAGTACTTAGCTTTCTACACATGAAGAACAGATTTCCTCTTTTTCTTCTCTTATTTTAGAAGTTGTTTGGGGACTAAAAATAACAGGCTGAAAGTAGCTTCTCTGACCACTGACCCCTGAGGTCCCTAGTCAGAATTAAGGAAAGTTACTTTTTAGCAATGTGAGAAACAGAAGCATGTTATCTCCAGTCATCAAGTGCTCTGGTGTATTCATTCTTGTGTTCATTCTTTCTTTGAACTATCACTCCAATGTTTGCTGAGTGAAAACGATGTGAGCTGGGTGTTGGGCAACTTCAGCATCTGAGTAAGACACAAGAGCCGGACTGAACTGGACGCCTGTGAGTGGAGATAGGGAAGGGGGTGGTTCAAGGACGCATGGAATCCCATGGTGGAGCTGAGCAGGAAGATCAGCTAGTACCCTGAAATGGTCATGGCTAAAACAGCTGTCCACAGGGTTGGATGGTTGGCAAGTAACAGACTAACATCCTGAGTGGGAGGGGGATGCAGTGAGTGAGATAGACCTCTGGTACTGGTGGTGCCAAGACAGCAGATACTGTCCTGGAAGATGGCCAAACACACTCCCCTCCCATCTTCTCCTAGTGCCTTGATTCCAGGGTCTTCAGGAACCCATGGCAGCTGCTGGGAACAGAAGCCATACCAGGGTGGATGGAACAGGTCCCACCTGTCAGAGAA